TGGAAAATGATGGTTGGACAGATGTGTTAGGGAATTTCTCCTTCGCTTTATAGTCAGGTCACTGCTAGATGGTGGAGCCCGAGTTCACCCTGTGCTGCAATGAGTCACCCGGGATTTGCAAGCAGCACTGCCCTTTCCTGGGTACATGTTGAACTGTAATGGGGTGTCTCAAATGTTTTGCACTTTGCAGGCATTCTGCTTTCACTGGAGCAGTGAGGACCTCAGTTTTGGGGATGAAACTAAAGGTATCCGTGCGTTCTCCAGCTATGTGAATGCTGCATTAGAAGCCAGAGAGCAATAGCTTCACTTGTGCCTGTTTCCAGCATAATTACTTGAAATCTAGGTCAGTGTTTGCGCTGTGTCAAGCGTTTATGCTCGGGAAGACTATTGACTTGTCATCACTGGGGGTGTGTTATTAAATCTCTGGCAAATGTTAGTTGTAATCTGCTCACATTGTCTTTGACCTGGAGATCTCTGAGCATGGGGCAGTTGCCTCCAAGTGGAGTTTGTAGCCCAGCTCTGTGCAAGCAGCTCCGTTCTGCAGGCGAGGAAGGCAAGCAGGGCTCAAGAGAACTCCTGTGGACAGGACCCAGCGTTGCTGGATTTGCACAAACGTTTGCAATTCCTTCGTCACACGGATAAGGGGAAGAGTGACAAAAGAACAAGGTGACCAGCTGCATTTCCCAAATATCCGAAGGTCTCCGGGAAGCGCATGGACCCTCCTTAAAAGGTCGGTGTGGATGGGTGAGAGCTGGAGCAGCAAAGAATCTGTTATCATCATCAGGGTGGAAGGACAAGTGACATTGAGCACCCAAGAAGGACACTCACCTCCTAAGCAGCCACGAGGCCCCCCATGCTCTCCTGGAGCTTGCTGCTTCTCCAGCATCTCCTTGATGTCTCATTTTTCCTGATCCAAACCATTCATTCATTAAGAAACACTTCCAAGGATAAGAAAGTTGGCATTTGTGCTACTTTCAGTCCCTGCTGCTGAATGCAGGGAGAATTTTGCCTTTGCCACAAGGAAAGAGAAATGAAGCTCACACTTCATGAACCTGCAGCTCTGAAGCAGAATTTAGGCATTACTGAAGTTTTTGGTGTTTTGCCTGAGTCTTAATCTAAAATTTGTCTTGAATTTGCTGCTGAGGAAAGAGCAACTCTAGGGGCTGAGGAACTCGAGTTCCTCAGCCAAGTTGGGTCCCCCGTGTTCTCACCTAAGCGTAAGGTGTGAAGAACGTGCGCGTAGGAGGCCCAGAGGTTTCTAGCTACTCCTTCGCACAGCTGGTCCCATGCTATTTCCACAAGAAAACACACACACACACACACAAAAAAAAAAAAGCCATGCAAATCAGGTCCTTGCTTTGAACCGGAGGCCGTGGCAATTCCCAGATCTGGTTGTCATGGATATTGTCACTATGGAGCTGTTGCCATGGTGCTGCCTGCTCACGTTGGCTGAGAGATGCGAAGTTTTATTTATTTTAAGAAAGGAGGAGGAACAGTGGGTAGCAGAAGGCAGAGAGGTCTTCAGATAAATATTTAATGGGGTTAATAACTGCCTTGGTTTTGATCTTCTAGTAACCAGGGTTAGAATTTTACCTCTTCTCAGGTTAAACATCCAGAAACGGTGTCTTGCAGAGGATAAGGATATGAAGAAGGGACTTAAAATCCCATGTCTCCCCTCAAGCCCCTTCTTTTTGGAGGAACTCATGCATTTTATTTCAAATGCAAGAGAAAGGCTCTCTTGGAAGGGAGTTTGGCAGCCCTTAATGACCATGTCTGGCCGTTGATGGTTCTGGAAGCAGGAACTGAATGAGAAAGAGCTTGTGTCTGTGCCAAACATCCTTGTCTAGTGAGGAGAGAGCTAATCTCCCCGAGCTCTCCAAAGGCGAATATCGGTTTCACTCCCTTTCAAACAGGACTCAGTCAGATTTAATAAATAATAATAACTTTGCTTTTGCAGCTCCTGGCACTCTGAACGTTTTGTCACTGTTACTTAATTAATCCTCCAAACAACCCTGCGAGGGAGGGAGGATTAATTTCTCAGTGTTTTAATGGAGATAAAGGGGCACAGAGATTGTGGTAAGTGGCCTCCCATTGATGTTATGGCATCCAGGGATAGGAGCAGGGAATTCCTACTTCCCACCCTGAGCTGTGGAAAACTTGTGTTTCTTTCTGATCCAGAGCATGAAGCCAAGAGAGGCACTGAGCATGAACAGTGATGTGGCACATGGGGCTTGCAGAAGCCTTTGCAGGATTTGGGACTGTGTTAAACAGAGCTGTGAATCCTCTGGGTGCTTTAGGAATTTTATCTTTGAGCTGAATCTGCCCAGCATCCATAATTAGGTTCATTAGGCAGTCCTTTTTCTGGCCACAGGAAATGTGCTGCTGGGGAAGTTGTCACTGCAAGGCATGCAGGGACTAGCTATTTTCCCGGAATTTTCCATTCCGTTTTTCGCTTGCGCAATGAACTGCAGATTGGAGCCTCACGGAGCCTGCGTGCGTCCAGGCCAACATCTGGAAACATCTGCCCTGCAGGTGTGGCTCGTCCAGAGCCCAGGGGATGCAGCCTCTCCTGCCCGCAAGGAAGGGCAACACGTGCAGGAGACCCCCTGCGAAAGAGCCACAGTGAGAACTGGCACCAATGGAGACGCAGGGAGGGAGATCCTGCAGAAACATTCCCACTCCTGCTGAGCCAAATGGATGTCTGTCCATGGAATACGCTGGGAGCTGGGATGAGCCCCCTGTGTCTTGCTGCTGTCACCAATGCACCTACTTTGAGCGGATGCTTTTGAATGCAAGAGGCATTTTTGTGCTTTCTCAATCTCTTCTTCATGTAACCAGCTTTTTAAAGTAATTGTATTACTTACTAATACCCAGTTCGGTACTGGATTTCTGCCATGCTTACTTTCATTTAAAGCATGTGTAAGAGTTGCTCAGTCAACAACAAATACCAATAAACCACAGCTGCCATTTCCCCAGGAAGAAAAAGAAGTGCCAAAAATACAGACAGGCCTCTGAGAAATCTGCGTTGACCAGTTCCTGCCTAAACTGGCAAGTAATGCAGTATTACTTAATGCTGTTTAAATATGCTGTCTGCTCTCATCACCTGAGGATATTCCTTGGTTTCAGCGTTGATCTGCCCATGGGACTCTCATGTTCTGTTCGTTTTTTGGAGGTGGGCAGTTATTCCCTTGGTGTTTGCCCAGGGCTGTCTAACAAAAGGCTCTAGGACCAAGTCAGAAGAGGGGAAAGACAGATGAGTTCTTGTCACGCATGTGTCCTGTTGCCTGATAGCAGCATAGTTTACTATTTCTGTCCCTCTGGAATATAAAAGTGCATCTGGGCAGATTTTTGTCACATATAGGTCATGCTTCTGAGTGGCTTCCTTAGAGCACAAGTTAAAAACCATAAAGCAAAACCCTGCGGAGCCTGGGGAACTGCTGATTTCTCTGAGTAAGGAAGCTCAAGCACCTCCTCCTCGCTTGGAAGGGCTCTGCTTTGCACTGCACCACTGAGCTCGTGCACTGTTTTCTCTTCCCTCCTGATGGAAATAGCCTGAGGCCTGGAAAAGCATTAGGAGGAAGAGCCCAGCATTAGGAAGCGAGGAGGGCAGCCAGCCAGGAGATGACTGCACAGCTTTCAGCTTCCCACTGATTGGGACCTTGCGTTTTTGGGCATGGGTGCAGTGACTCTGTTCCTTCTTGTCAAGCTCGCCTGGTCCCTGAGCCAGATGCCTCCGACTGAGTAAATGAGGACTCTAACTACTGAGTATTCCACGGCTCTGTTTGTAAGTCTATGGATATCTGGCTCTGTCAGATGGATTCTCCGTCCAAAACGTCTTCCTCCTCCACGCAATGTCCAAATACATCAACTCCTTTTCTCAGAGTGTGATAAGATGAGGAGCAAATTACCGCTGCTGTCTCCACCTTGGAGCAGGAAGCAGACGTGCAGCCGGCCGCGCGGCGCTGGCCTCGCGCTGATGGCTTCACTTTAGACAACGGATCCTGCTGCTTTCCTGGAGAGAAAAGCAACCCCAAAAATCCCGGCTTGGTTTTGCTCCAGCTCTTGGAAGGAAGACGAAACCAAGTGGAAAGATTGAATCTGGCAGTAAGAGGGCAATACATGACTTGTGAACGCAGAGAACAAAAATAGCTGAAAGGGAAAAAAATTGCCTGAAAGAAGCTCTTCAATTATTCTGTTTCCTTCAAAAGCTTTGCCACGGACGCAGGCAGGCTGCCGTTCCTGTGAGGAAGGCCTGTGTCGCAGCAGGACTTGGGCACGTTACCGCAGAGAAAGAAGCTGCTTCTTGTGGCTGCTTCCAGGTAGCTGATAGCAGCTCGCTTGTGGCCCTGGGCATCCTTAGGGAAATCCGCACTTCCATAATGAGACACCAGGATTTCGTTTTCAGTATGAGGAGGGTAGATTGTCCTGGGTTCCTAGAGGCCACTTCCAGGGATCTGCCTAAGGAAGTGATTAGAAGAAGTGTTAGGGAAAAGCGATTTGAATCCTGTGTCTTAGGTGGGAAAGGGTGCCCTGAGGTTTACCACACTTGTAGGTGCCATAGGAAGCAGGCTCATGCTGCAGCCGTGAGCTGTGCCCAACAGAGCACTCTGGGGTATCCAGGGCTTCCCGTTGGACGCTGGCCTCCAGGAAAGTCATTCCATAGCACATGACTCAGTCTGGGAATGCCTCTTGCTGATGGCTGATGTCATGGTAATGTTTCCCTCTGGGGGAAGCCTGGTGACCTTTGCAGCTGGATCCCACCAGCCTCTCTCTGTTGTATCTGTCCAGCGATGTGGAAGGAAAATAGATTCAATAATCAGGAAACAGATTTATCCCAATGCTGCCAAAGCCCCATGTGAAAGAGACTTAGGATGTTCAGGACCTAGGCAAATCCCTCCTTCCATCCCCCACTGACACACATGCCTGAATCCCTGCAGTCTTCACTTTTCTGGGACTTTTAGGCTTCTATTAGTTATTTCTTTTTGCTGTTCTCATTGCAGGGCAACCATTGATGAAGTGGAAACAGATGTGGTGGAGATAGAAGTGAAGCTTGACAAGGTAAGATGGAGCAGCATCGCTTTGGAGAGAGACGTAGGACGAGGCTCCAGGGGCTCCTCTGAGCACCGACCCCATCTCCAGCTTGTGCACAGGGCCATGTCTCCCTCTGCTGACAGGCACCTGCCAGGGCTGCCTGGTGACAGGAATCAGGAGGAGAGGTCCAGCCTTGTGCTCCTGATGCTGAAGGGTGATGCTCCTCGTGCCCTGGTGACTCAGACTCTGCTTGGACTGCGGGGCGGGTGGTTTCAGTGCTGCCCATGGCCCTGCTCCACCCTTGAGGAGTTGTCTCCTCTTGGTCTTTCCCAGAGGACCCTTTTGGGTGAGGTTCTGGCAGTGCAACAAACTGGCAAGGACTCGCTATATTCCTCTGCCTTGTCAGTGCCTTCAAACACTTGGTTTGTGCATGATTTACCCTTTAACCCCTGTTTAAAATGGAGGCAAAGGGCAGTTTTGAAGATTCACCCAGGAGCACCCCAGACGTCTTGGTTTGGTTGTTGTTTCAAAGAGGTTTCCTTCACTCTGGCCTGTCCAACATCTGCACAATCATCCTTCCTCCCCGTGGGAGGACAAGGGAATAGGAGCTCTTCAGTGCAAGGAGGTATCAAAAATGTGACTTAATATTTGTTATTGAAATTTCTGAACATCTTGTGGTTTGGAAGGTTTGGAGTTTGATTGCTTTCTGCAGCTAAAGGCAGAAATATTCAGAAATTAATTCAGAATTTCTGAATATTTCATAATATTCAGAAATGGCTGCTCCCTTCTCACAGCTAGAATAACCTCAGGTTTTCTTCCAGCTGTCAAAGACCCACTTCCTACCAAGGCTCTCCCAGCTCTCTTAATGTCTCAGGAGCTTTTCCAGAGCTAGGGAACATAATTTCTGGGTGTGCTCGTGCTGAATGGCCTCCAGCAGCTACTTGTAACCCAGCCTTGGCCTCAAGTGTGTGCACAGAGCTAGAAACTGCCACGTTGCAGAACAGGCTGCATTTCCTTTCCAGCCTTCCGTGTCTGTCTGGGCTCCAGATGTGACAGGAGCTGCATCTCTCTGCTTCCCTCCTCCAGGGCTATTCTAGGGGATAGTTCAAGCCTGCTAGCTCAGTATATATATGTTTATACATTCAGATAGCCTTATATAAATCCCTACAGATTTGCAGGCAAAGGCAGGCAAGCTTGTTCTGCAGTGCAAGCCTAAAGAATGTGCTTCAGCACAGAGCCCAAAGGCTTTTGGTTACATAAACCCAAGCCCAAACTAGTACACCACGCTTTCCGTGGGCGTTCTGACATTCAGCTAGCAGCACCACACGGTTCGGAATATGGGCAGAATTCCTGTTATCCCATCTTTCTTTATCCCTTCTCTATAGATAGTTAGTGAAGAGACATCCGCATCCAGGCGAGGATGATTGACAGAGGTAGATTTCTGAAGCTGCTTTGCATTAGTGAGATTAATATCTCTAAGAAGCTCCTGGTTTTTGAAAATGGAAGGTTTCAGTTCCGAGTAATGTTCCTTGTCAGCCTCTAATTTTTTTCAGTTAGTTAAAAAGCTTGGAACAGAGATGACTGTCAAAAAATGTCTATTTAAGATACTGTTCAGTGGCCAGGCCTTACTGTTGCAGATCTCTTGGCCTGTGCTTTGTGCTCTTATCTTAAGTTGTTTAACTTAGCCCCTTTACAAGGAGTTTTGGCTAAAGGGAGATAGGCAAATGGCCAGGAATTCTGACTAGCATGCAAGTTAAAGATCCAGTTTTTATAGCCAGTTCCAGGCTTGCTGAGGCTAGAAAGTCTGGGATTTTTCCCTGAAGTTGTTAAATTATCCAAAGCTCCTAAAGGCTCTGCAGTTTCATGCCCAGGCTGCAGAAAGCTGTTTGCAGCATGAGGAAGCTGCCCTCATTCTGCTGCAAGTTCCAAGTAACTCCATTAAAGTCATAGTTTCCTTAAAGTTGCTGACACATTCCTCAGAGCCAAACTCCTTCCAGAGCCTGAGGAGAGATGATACCAAGTCCCAGGCAGCCCAGACATGTATCTTGCACCAGCCTACCTTCTTGGTGTGCAGAATTGTGGCAAATGATTCGTAGCTAGTTATGGTCTTGGTGGTTTGATCAGCATGAACACGGGAACTGCCTGGAACGGTTTCCTTAGGTGACAAATGACACGCTCAGATCATGACTTACCCTCAAAGTGAGGCTTTTGTCTGGGTTTCTGTAAGGGCAGTTAATGTAGCCACGCCAGGGATGCGCCTGGCATCCTGCTCCAGGGGTGCTGGAGCCTGGTGTTGGTGCAGAAGAAATGCAACGTGACTGCAAGTCAGCTTGCTGTGTGCAGCTTGCTCCCTGCTCACGCCTCTCTCCTCGTGCAGCTGGTGAAGCTCTGCAGCGGGATGATTGAAGCGGGCAAAGCCTACATCACCACCAACAAGCACTTCGTCAGCGGCGTCCGCGATCTGTCACAGCAGTGCAAGAAGGATGAGATGATTTCCGTAAGTCATCCCGGGAGGGAGGGAGGGAGGAACACGCTGAGGGATATGGGATAACCAGCCTGATGCTGTGCCTCACTTTATGGCCTAGTGCTTTGCGTTATTTAAGGGGCCATTTAATGGGAGAATTTTATTTGAGGAGAAAATCCTGCATGTGATAACGCAGTGCTGAAAACGCAGAGTGAGATTCCTCATTTGCAGGGAGAGCTGGGCTTTTCGGGAGGCGCAGCGCTGGCAAGGTTGTGGGAATCTAGGTCAGTGAGCAGCAGTTCCTTAGGAAACACGGGGAAGCAATCTGCAGGAGGAACGACTGGGCACGAGGAGTTCAGCACTAGACTGCAAAGGACAGGGAGCCTATGGCTTCAGTGGCACACACACATTGAATGCCTGCGTGCTAAATGACAGGGTGGCTCTTCAGTGCTTTAATGAGAGTGCCCTGGAGCCCTGGGGATCCAGGACAGCTGCTCCTGTTCACTGCCAGCTCCCTCTCCTTCTCTTGCAGGAGTGCCTCGACAAATTCGGGGACAGTCTGCAGGAGATGATCAACTACCACATGGTGAGATCCTGCTTCCTCTCCCTGCGCTGACGGTCACCTCTCCCTCCAAGCACTGGTTACTGGTCTCTTGACCACCTTCTTGTCCCTGCTTGAGCAGGGGGTTGGACTAGATCATCTCTAGAGGTCCCTTCCAAGCTCAGCCATTCTGGGATTCTTAATGCTGTAAAAAGATGGGCTCTGTGAAGGGGCTCACCTAGAGATTCCAGTCCCTGTGTGCTGGGTAACCAAGAAAGCCACAAAGGGCTGGGAAACTCTGTTGCCTTGTGCAAAGGTTTTTATTTCTTTAACCTATTGAATGGGATGAATTTTGAGTCTGTTAGAGCCCATTGGTACTCACATGGTCAGAGATACTGCATCATGAACACCCACAAATGGGATTTCCCTTGCAGAGGGGGTGCCATTTGGACTGCACGAGTGTCTTTTTTTCCATCCCAAAACATAAAGCTCATAGAAGAGGAAGGTGCTCCGTGTTGCTGGATCCATGTTTTTTAGGTCGGAAATTCCGAAGAAGATACAAATACTTTAAAGTGAAGGAAGCTGCAGAGTGTTGGTGCTGGAGTGACCCACTTTTCTAGCACAATGCCCTTGTCACAGTGTATTAGGCATGAAGGTTACTTGCAAATTAACCGTGTGCAGTTGGAGAAGAAGCTGCATCAAGTCCATTTAATTACTTCATGAAGCAAGTAGGAAGAGCTCCCTCCTAGTGGAAAATGTCAGGGAAAAGAGGTACTACTTATCCATCTCTCCTAGGAATGTCAGTATCTGGAAACAACCTGCTGTGCAGGGTTGGTGGCAGAGAGGGGAGACTGGACGATCAATGGGATCATCCAGGAAAAGGGGTTTATGTCAAAGCAGAGAAAGCCGAGTCCTAATTCTCTGAAGCAGCTAAACCTCCCCTTGAAAATATAATTTCTGCTAAGGAGGGTGGTGTGGAGCCCTCAGAAGTTAGAAGTTACCCCTCCATTTCCAGGATCACACCTGCACTGCTGGGGCTGGGCTATGTGCAGCTCCAGGGAGCTGTCCCAGCTCCCTGCAGCTCCCTCTGCATCCCCCTTCTCTGCTAAAAATGGCACTTCTGGCGTTATTCTTGTCTTAGCTGGCTAACAGGCAGAAGATCCTGATTCCCAGAGCTGCCAAATCCTCCGCAGATTTGGCAAAGCCCTTCCCATGCAACCCACCTTGTTAAAAGCAGGGTGAGCTCCTCACCATAGGCTGTCAGAGACAGTATTTCGCTACCACCAGCTTTATTCCCATGGGGAAGATGCTGCAAACCCTCCCTTTTTGGGGTTTTGGAGAGCACCCTCTTCCTAACTGCACAGCAGTGTGAGTGCCTGTCCAGGAAACGGCTCCGCAGCGACTGCAGTATCCCTGACAGCTGCACAAGTAGCCGAGTTATTTTTGGGGGCCTGCTGCCTTCTTCCTTTGGGGGGTGTATTTGTGCATGTAGCTTGGCTTGTCCGTGTCTGAGCATCTCAGCTATGAAGCAGTTGTCAGTGCTCACTCCAGGCATGCAGCCAGGGCCGTATGTGCAGCTGGAACAAGTTAAAAAGAAAGGAAAATGGACCAAAAACGAGTTGGAAAAACTTGTTCTTTAATTTTGCTGCTAGAGCACTGGGCTAGAAGACATTCCTACGTCTATTTCAGCCCTACAAAATCCAAATATAACACACTGTCCTGCACGCAGAGGGTGAACACACCAAGCTCCAGAGCATTTTCACTTTTCTTTGGATACACAGGGACAAAAAAATAAAAGAAAACAGCATTGGAGAGGGAGATGACAAAAGAGAAAGTTGAATTTGGAAGAGCTGGGCTCCGCGTCCTCTGCCTTTCTGTGAGACAACAACCCTATTCCAAGGAAAGGTCTCAGGAGAGGGTTTCAACCACAGCCAACAGACTGCTTAGCAAACAGAGCTGTGCTCAGAGGTGTGTCCTGGAAATCTTTGCTCATGCTAATATCCCAGGGCACATCCCTCCCAGAAATGTTGCGGTCTGGCCCGTTATCGGTTCTGTTCTGTTTCATCACTCTTCTCCCTAGCAAGACTCTGTGTCCCAACACAAAAGAGCCACCGTTTTGCAGCATCTTCCTTGCCAATGGGCAGAGCAGCGTGTGCAGCACGGGAAGGATGCTGTGTCACGTCACCTCGTGTCACGTCGCCTCGTCACACCCCCCTGCTCCGCTTGGGATGGTGCAAACTCCAGGAGACGTTTGAGTAGTGGGTGGCAGATGGGGATGCCAGAGCCCTGCAGCAACCACGGCCTGAAATTTCCTTTCAGCTGAGTGATGTGAGCTGCAATTTTGCTCAAGGGCCTGAAGTCTCCCCACGATGACTTCTCCTCTCCACATACCGCATTGGAGCGAATTAATTTTGACTGTGGCTTGCCAAGGTGTTCTGGAAGTGCTGCTTGTTCAGCTAGAAACAGATGCTGTGCTATTAGACAATGCTGTCACCCTATAGGTTTAATGTAAGGAGCAGTTTGGGTTTGTTTTCCAGGGCACAGTCTCTCAGGTGAGCTGTTCTGCCAACTTGCCATGAATGTAACACTACATGGGTGGCATTTGTCTGATGTACCATTACTCAAGCAATTCAGGACCAAATCATATAGCCAGCCAGGAATAACAGGCATTTAAGCATCCCCTGGCAGACGTGAGATGCTCAAATTCTGCCCGGCCATCTGGCCAGTGAAGTTGCTACATTCAGCTGGTGGAAGCTGCACTGGGAGAGAAGTAAACTGCAGGAATATGAAATCCATGAAAAATGGAGCGTACCCTCCGGAAGAGGCACAGCGATGTTTCCATCCTCTTTCCAAGGCTCTGTCAGCCATACCCTGACTCAGCTAGGAAAGAGATGGAAACAGGAAAGCTCTTTGCAGCTCTGCAGCAGGAGAGGAGAAAAGAAAGAAGTGGCAAAAAGAAAGAGGGCTACATTAGTCCTCATGTGAGGCAGCTGGAAGCGAAGCTCCACACCCTCCCTCTGATCATCTGGGCCTCAGCAGAACAGCTGATTCTCTCAGGTGATCCTAATCTCATCTTGGGATGTTGGTGTCAGGGCCTGAGAGCTCAAATAGGCCCTGAGCAGCCTTGAGCAGGGGCTGCAGAGCCCTGTCCAGCCTGGGCTGGCTGGCCTCCTGCTCCCTGATTGTTGCTGCTGGGAATGTCCCAGTCTGATGGGTATTTCTAGTCAAACATGTCCCCATGTGCAGCTGTGATGTCCCCCTTTGGAATTATGTGTAAGTGATGAGGGGAACAGTCCATGGGTGGGCATCTCATCTTGCTTTAGCTCCTGCTTTGCCTTGCAGCCTGGTAGGAACCCCCTTCTCCTGCAGGGAATACAGGGGGAATGTTGTAGCATTAGCTTCTCTGTGCGTGTGTCCTGTGCCAGGAGCAGAATTCTGCTCCGCTGACCTCTCTGATTTTGCAAGGAGGAGAAATCCCTCAGTTCCCTGACAAATCTGGCTTTGAGTTGTATCCAAGGGCCTCGGGAGCTTATGCCGAGGAAGTCAAATGTGGGATGCAGCCGTGGCTGGGTGGGAGCGGTGTTCCCCCCTCCTCAAGTGCGGATGTGACTCACAGGCTGGATCATCTTGCCCTGGTGGAGGCTAAGAGAGAGGGTGGGGTGATATTTGGGCTGGAAAACGTTAACCCAAATGACTTGTTCCAAGCACGTCTGGGAAAGGAGAGTAAGCCAGGGAACAACTTAGTATTTAAAGCTCTAGTTCTTAATACTCCACTTAGTTTGCTTTGAGATGGAAACTAATGGTGGAAACCCTGTCTGTATTGGTCAAAGTTGTGTTTCCAGGACCTGTTTGGGTTAAGGACCTCTTAAGGTTAAGCTGGAGCGAAGGAAGCAGAGCTGCTCGTGCCAGAGCGCTGTGGTGGTGTCAGACCTCAGCACCACGATGCCTCAGGACATCGCTGCATTCTGGGCCAACGTCCGGCCTGGGGTCTGTGCCCATTCCTTGCGGGTCTGTGGCCTGGAGCCTCTTTCCATCTGGCCCCAATTAACTGAAGGGCTTTGGCATCCCAAGGCATGTCCGAAATGGGGAGTTGTTGGTAATGGTGCTCAGCAGAGAGGGGTGGGAGGGAAACGAGCTGCTGTTGGGGTGTCTGCAGAGCGGGGATGTCTCCCAAAGGAAGAGGGGAGAGCCAGAGATGATATGGAGAGTTTACAGGAGGGGATCTGGGACTTTTTTTTTGTGGGGATGGGTGGGAAAATGAAGCTGAAATGGTTGTTAGGAGCTCTATACCATACACTTGGTAAAAAGACCAAAACAAAACACAACACTAAACATTGAACCTCTCTCCCACGTGTGTTTCTGCATTAAGGGCTGTTTCCACCTGCCCAGTATAATAGGCAGAGCTTTACAGAAATATTTTGGGAGATTGGGGCTGGCTCCGATGTACCCTAAGAGATGGTTCCCATTTGCAGTGTTGCAGGGACAGTGCCCTCCTCTGGCAAAATGAGAAAGTGGAGCCTTGGGAGAGATGGGATTGGAAACAGCTGCTGCTCCAAGTGTTCCCTTAATGGAAGCAGGTCGGCAGCAGGGGCCCTTTGGGGTGCTCGGTAGCCCAGGCCAGGGGAGCCCTGCGCCAGGAGGGAGCACTGCTTGGGTGCAGAAGTTCAGTTCCTTGCAGGAGCATCGAGCATGGGGCACTGACAGCCCTGGAGTGATGCTGAGTCCCTGCCCTTAAGATCCTAGAGAGCAATCGTGGATTTTGATTCCCAAATGTTTGTGTATTTGATTTTTTCTGTCTTTTCTTTCAGATCCTGTTTGACCAGGCTCACTGACTCCCAAATGTTTGTGTATTTGATGTTTTCTGTCTTTCAGATCCTGTTTGACCAGGCTCAGAGGTCGGTCCGACAGCAACTGCACAATTTTGTGAAAGAGTGAGTGCTTGTCTTTTCAGCCTAGTTTTCATCCTCTTGAACTTCCCTTGCCTCTGTCCACACTGGAGAAAGACCCTCAGCCTCCATGTAACCCAGGCAAGACTCTGCCTGGGACAAAAGAGACACCAAAGGGCAGGGGCAGGGTCTGCTTTGTGCAATGGCTGCTGCTGTCATCTTGCTACTCAGCATTTGATGGCCCTGTTGTCCATCAGGTGTCTTGATCCTGTTTCTGGCTTGTACTTAAATCTGGCCACGACGCAAAATTTCAGGTTTAAGAAGATTCTTCTGCTGAATTTAGAAATCAAACAGATCCCAGAGCAGGGTTAGTAAAGCCTCTTGAGCTGAGCCAGGTTTGGATAGTGCTGATGCCTTATGTTAGATGCAGAATTTGCTTGGGATTTAAACCAGCACCTGCTTGCAGAGGGGAGGAGCTTTCCTGCCAACTGACTTCAGGATCTAGCAAAATCATTGCAAGGATGTTAACTTGGGATGCCAAAGGATGTCAACAGGGCAGGCCTGAGGTGGAGCAGGGCCAAGCTCAGGAAGCCCCTCGCACGGGGACAGTCTGCACCTCTGCTCAGACGCAACTCAGTTGGATCCGTCCCTTCAGCAGAGACGGGAGAGCCGCTTCCCGGCCGCCTCCGGAGGCGGCTCCAGCCCCTCCGTGTCCTCGGAGCGCGTCCTTTCCCTGGGGCAGGTGCCCAGTGCAGCGGGAGAGCCCAAACCAAGGGAATGTGGGTCAGAGAGGCCCCGGCTCAGCGAGCTGTTGCCATGGGAACTGTGAATCCTCCCAGCTGGGTGGTTTGGCGGGAGGGAGTCCCGAGCTGACCCCCTACCCTGTTCCTCATCCCCCTTCCTGCCTGTTCTGCACCCACTTGCTCTCTAATCATTTTTCTGATGAGCTCAGATTTAATCTGCTTAAGGCCTGGCGGTTGGAGGGGGAATTTCACATTCATTTTTGGGCCTGTCATCCTTCTAACACCTTTGATGTCTTCCTTTCCGTGCTCGTACTGCTCAGCCCCCACGTTTTCATGCCCTCATGCTTTGATCTTTGCATTGCTTTTCCTCTGGTTTGGAAACAATTTCTGTGCTCAGTACCAGTTGGAATAATCTGCCCAGGGCCACCTCTGCAATGGAGAGTGGGGACAAAAGAACATCAGTACTGATGCCCTGTGTGGTGTTTCATGCATATGTGACAGCGATGTTCAGGCTCTAACCAGGCCTCCCCAGGCCCTGAAGGTCTCTACCCGATACACTTTTGTGGTATCCTTTCCACTGGGGATACAAAGAAATGAGGAATTTATTCCCCGCCAAGCAGGGCTGAAAGCCACGTGAAGCCCTCGCATCCCTGAGCTGCAAGTGACCCGGGGCTTGCACAAAGAAGTGACCAACCTCCTTGTCTTCCTGCCGGTGGGCTGGGTGGTTCGTGTCACCAGCAGCCCTGTGCACTGGCACTGTGAAGAAGCAGCATCTTCCAGAACTGGAGTCTGGTCACATCTCTTTCCTTTTAACCTTGCTGTGCCCAACCCTGTGCCCAGGGGCTGGTCCATACATTAGCACGTGTAACATCAGGCTGTTTGCCACGGGGTTTTCACAGTCTGATTGCTGTCAGCCTCAGCTGAAGAGTTTCCAGTGCCCTGGATTAAAGCGTAAGTGGGTGCTGCTTATTTGCTGACAGTTTCTAACTGCTTCATAATGTAGAACAACTTGTAATGGGGGTAGATCCATAGAGCTCCCCTCTGGCTGGGTAATAAGCGTTTGCTTCTGGGTTGTGGCAGATCAGAGGAGGGTGACGAAAAGCAGGGACTAATCCTGTGCAGACATTCAGCCCTTTTCCTTGGTGCTGAACTGCCATGCAGAGAGATGTCTCAAGAGGCAGAGCTGAGCAGCCTTTCCTGGACTGCTTCAATTTAATTCAGGCATAATAAATAAATTGAAGCCAGACAGCCCTGGATAACTTAAAGATGATCTGTGAATGGTGCCAGAGCTGCTCCCTGTTCCATTCAATTAGCTTCAGGAAGAGCAGAGCAGACACGTAGAGGTGATGTCTGCAGCAGCTTACTGCCGTGGTGCATGACATGTGAGTACACACAAACCACCTTAGTTCAGTTGCTTTGACTTCCTCCCCGTAGCTTTGAGGAGATGGGGACAGGCCCTTGCTCTGTTTTTGTAGCATCCTCCCTGCAAAGCAGAGCCCTGATGCGGTTCCAGGAGAGTTTCCTTAGGGCTCTCAAGGCAGCGCGTGTAAGTACGGATACAGCAGAGCTTGGTAGGGTCAGAGTTAGGATATCCTTGACATCTGCAGCAGGTCCTCGAGGGGTCACAGTGCACTTGGCTCCACCTGTCCCTCTTCTGCACTAATCTGCGATGTTCTGGCTGATCTGTAGTGTTGCTTCCCACCATCTCTACTTCTTTGGGTTCCAGTGATGTGCGGAAGTTCAAGGAAACCAAGAAGCAGTTCGACAAAGTGCGAGAAGACATGGAGATTTCCCTGGTGAAGAATGCCCAGGCACCTCGGCACAAGCCTCATGAAGTAGAGGAGGCCACGGGCACCCTGACCATCACCAGAAAGTGTTTCCGGCATCTGGCCCTGGACTATGTGTTACAGGTTGGTGTCTGAGCCCCCAGCTTTAGCCTCTGCTCCCAGTACAGAATGAAAGAGCAAAGTGCCAAATAATCCACAGCAGGGAGTGAAGATCACTGGTGAGTGAGTGCAAACAGACACTTACAGCTAGGTTCAGAAGGGCAGGGGATTGTTAACACTTTGAGCACTTGGCCCTCTGCCTCTGGTGGTGGGAAGTTCTTGGGACTGGTGTGAGAGACCCTGAAGCCACCAAGTTGGTTGAGGGTTTGCACACTGGTAACTGAAGCCACAAAGCTGTTGCTTCTTTCCAACCTTGCAGAATTTATCTTCATCTTCAGCTTTGTCCAGAGGCCTGAAGCTGATGTGGTAGAGCTGTGCAGACCTTGCTAGAACTATCTAACTTTCTGAACTGCGTCTCTGCACAGTCTGTGGTTTGCTGATGGGGTATTGCAGCATGCTGTTCAGATGCAGAACTGTGCTGGATTGCTCGCTGATGCTGAGTCTTGTCTTGATCCCTTCACAGATTAATGTTCTGCAGGCCAAGAAGAAGTTTGAAATACTGGATGCGGTAAGAGCGCGCTGTTTCCTGGGACTACCTTCTGTGGCTTATTAAAGGCATCCCCTTGAGGTTGCCATGCTGATTCCTCTCCCTGGGGACACTGTTGGGGACTGTCCTGAGGGATGCAGACACACTAACCAGAGGGGAGCATGGGGGAGTATTAAGACTCTCTGCTGGCCAGAACCGGAGGGGAATTTCAGGGTTGAAGGGAACTAATGCTCTTAGTGCTTTGTACTCGTGACAGGATTGCCTGACATTGCAGAAAGATCTGTGGGAGGAAGGAAGGAGAGATGAGGGAGAGGCAGTGTGAATGGGTAGATTGCCCTGGGAAGGGATGTGGTAGAGGGGACCTTGAGGGGACATGTTTATGAGAAACAATAGGTAAAGTGGCTTTCACACTTAATTGTTCCAGAGCCTGTTCTGACCTTGCTTTTCTTTCCCTCCCCAGATGCTGTCCTTCATGCATGCCCAGTACACCTTTTTTCAGCAGGGCTACAGTCTTCTCCATGAACTGGATCCCTACATGAAGAAACTGGCTACAGAGGTAAAGGGATGGGGGAGGCAATTAATTCCTCTTGTCCTTTCTTCTGCCCTCCTTCACCCAGAAAGGGCCTCCCCATTCCTATTCAGCTTCCACACGTGGTTATCTGGAAGTGATGCACAAAGCCCTGCCCTTGTCAGGTTAGCCATGCAGCGCTGCTGGGGCAGCAGCCAGGAGCTGTGGTTACCCTCAGGGTTACCCAAATGCAGCTTTACCCTGGCTCTTTTCCCCTTTGGTGGGGCTTTATGCTGTTAGGAAGGGCTGGTGTAATCGGAGCTCAGGGAAGCAGAGATGGACAGTGCCTCACAACCTCCTTCCTGGCTTTTCTGCCTGATGTTCTTCTCCCTTTCCTTAGCTGGACCAGCTGGTGATCGACTCTGCAGTGGAGAAGAGGGAGATGGAGCACAAGCACGCATTGATACAGCAGAGGGTGAGTCCTGGGCTGCAGTTTGACCAAGCAGCACTTCTCCCCCTCAGCATGGGAATGACAAATCTATCATCTGATGAGGAGTGTCGCTGCGGCAGTACTTCCCAGCCTGGAGCCATGGGAGTTACTGAGATATATACAATAACCTGGTGGTGGTTTGGTTAAATGCTGCATATTCCATAGGCATGGACAGTGCTATCCTAGAGCCTCTCTGGCAGGTAGGTTTGATCAAGTGCAGTGTATTCAGCTACTGACACGTGCCAGTACACGAAAGAGGGATGCAGGGAGGCCTGTGATGCCTGCAGTTCCCTCCCACCCCTTCTCCTTTCCTCTTTACTGTCTCGCATCCTTCCACTGGCTGAGCAGGCTGGCTTGTGCAGCAAGCCCCATGATGTCCAGCTGCTGCACAACTAGCAGATCCCTTCTGACACTTCTCTCTGCTCACACATCTGGCCAGTCAGGCTTACAGATGGCCCAACCTCTGTTAAATCACCTAGCAGGCAGATGAATGGACGTGCTCCTCTGGTCCCCAGAGGCAGGATTTGCTGCAGGGCTTTTTCTTCATTCACAGGCAGCTCCCGCTGCACTGAGTTGTGTTAACAGGTCGTGAGGGGGAGGCAGGGCTTGGTGCTGCCACTTGGGGAGAAGCACGTTGCACTTTTGTGCAAGTCTGCTCCAGATTGCAGCCTGGATGATCCTTGTTTAAGGTGATGTGACACGGCTGCAGGCCCAAGCAGCTGGGGAAGGGCCGTCGGGTCCCAAGCCGTAGAGCTCTTGTCAGCTGAGATAACTCTGCCTGTGTGTTTCACAGAATTGTGAAATTGCTATCAGAGAAGTTTGAGCCTGCAGTAGGGAAGTACCTTGGCCTAACAAGATCTCTGCCTTCTGGACCCATCATTTGGGGATCATTCCAGGTCTTATCTTTGTAGAAACATCAACTAATTTCTTTTTCTTTTCTTTCTCTTTTTCATGGATTGTCCATCTGCCCTTGCAGACGCTCCTGCAGGTGAGTACCCATGTGTGTTTCCGTCTTCATTTCTCAGTACTTTGCTGCTTTGGGTCTCTACTTGAAGTCCTGCCTTCAAAGGCAAATCTGTTAACCCAACTTTCCCTGCCATCCTCTGCTTTTGCATCTTCCAGAATGTATCCATGCACTGGGCACAATACGAGGGGCTTTCTGACAGTTAAAATAAATAGACATTCAGGACCCAAGCCATCTGGCACGCATTTGTGTGAACTGACATTAATCCATATGAAGAAAACGAGTGGCCCCTTCTAATGCTGCCCCTCAAGAATGTCCTGTCTCATTAAATGGAAATGTAATTTGAGAACTTAAGATAGACACTTGCTGGGAGTTGGCCTGTGCATGCGCTCCCCTTAAGTGTTCTGAGGGTTGGAAAATCCATTTGTGAACCATCAGGGTCAGTCCCCAGGGGAGCTCTGCTGGATTCACGGCTTCATCTGAGGAAACGTGGAGGCTCTGCATGGTGCAATGTATTTCATGGCTTTGCTGACTGGACATAAGAGTAATATAAGTGCCTTTTATCCTCCATTCGGTGTCTTCCCAACCAGCCTGCTGAGGCCTGACAGAAAGGGAGGGGATCCTTTTAGAAATAATAGATTTCTGTTTAGAAGCATGCTCGGTGTGGGGGAGTTTACATGTTTTCTTATGGATGGGCCAAGTTGCTTCAGCTGTATGCACACGGGCACTCAGAAGCAGGTTGGCCCACTTAGGAGAAATTCTGGCAGATTCTCTTCTGGAACACGTGGGCCCAGGGAGATTTTCAATCCCTTGCAAGAAGGGAAAAGATAACATTTAAATTAGTCTTCCCTTCCAGATTCTGACCTTCCTGAATCCATCTACTTCATCCAATCTAGGAGGCCGGTGTCTCTGAAAGGGCAGGAATACAGGGCTATATATGATTTCCTTCACAGCTTCCTACCTGCTTCAGAGGAGTGGAGGAAGCCTGTGCGTCTGTCCCTGGTTGTGTGGGAAGGGAGGAGGATGGAGTGCCAAGGCAGAGCTCTCCGTCCCAGTCTAGCTGGTAAATAACAAACTAGGGGCCATAGGGCTCTCCAGCCCCCTCCTTTCTGCATTGGTATCAGAGCAGAGGTTGAATTTTTGGCTTCTTGGAGCAGGCCATGCTTGGGTCTGGGGAAGCAGAGCCCGCAGGCCATGGGGCTCTCCAGCACCCTCCTTTCTATGTCGGTATCGGAGCAGAGGTTGAATCTTTGGCTTCTTGGAGGAGGCCGTGCTTGGGTCTGGGGAAGCAGAGCCCGCTAAGGGCAGCCCAGCCTGACCCTGTTAGGGGGGTGCTGGCTGAGCATCCTCCTGTCACCTTTGCTTTTCCAGCTCTGGCTTCTCTGCTCCCTCTGCCCCTGCGTGGCAGCTGTATGATAATCAGTCCTTGCTCGAAGCTGATTGACTGTGATGTGAATAGGAGGCACAAGGAGGGGATAAGCAGGTGGTCCCCAGAGGCAGCCGCCTTCCTCCCCATAGTGTCCCTCCCGCTGACAGGAACCAACAGCAGAGCCTACAGCTCCCCAAAAAGGAGTAGGAGGAGGGTAAAGAAGGGGCTGAAAAAGAAATCCCTCCTTCCCTGCCAGCCCACGGTGCTTAGCAGAGAGGCTGTGCAGAGCGGAGCGAGAGGAGAGGACACAGAGCTGCTCCCTAGGCAAGAGCAGCAGAATTTCCCTTGCTGGCAGCATGAAGATTTTTGGCAGGCTTGAATACCTCCCGGTAAGGAGAAATCCCTGCAGGGCGGGTTCAACTCGGGGAGAAAATTGAGAGGACGTTTCTTTTCCTGGGGGAATCAGGTGTGTCTGTAGGAGCCTGCTTGCTGATACGACCCAAGAGCAAGTGTAGATTTATTACAAATAAATGCGTTTTGGTTCTGTTTGTGGGATGGGAAGGCCCTGGGCAGAGCCCAGATCTCTGAGCATCTCCTGCTCGCAGGCTGCAGAGCTGGGGAATCACTTGACTTCGGGCAGTTTAAGGAACAATAGGTCTGTAAATGGGATCCTTGGGCATCAGGAGAGGATGGGATGTGTGTTTGTGTAGTAGGGATGCATGTGCATCCATAAGAATGTGAATATTTCTCTAAATTTTGTTATCTTTGGAATCACATAGCTGAATTAATCACAGCATGTGTCTAATCTCTGGGTTTTTTTTCTACACACGCCTGCATACATAATGTTATTGCTGTGCATCTAATACTAAATAGTGAGTATTGCTGTTTCCCTCTACAAGCTAGGACACTTCTGGATAAAGCCAGAAACGCATGGAAATGCCCAGGGACTCCTTCAGAAAAGGGCCCTGGAAGCAGCCTTTAAATAGGGGAGTGTGTGTGTGTTGTTTTTTTCCTTTCAAATATCCCTTTGCATCCATTTGTGCCCCCTTTGGGTTTTTGCTTTTCACTTGCTAGTCTGAAGGTCTCCACGCTGGGGTCCTCCCCAGCACTGGGGCTGTTAATCCACATTAACACCTGCCTTGACTCCGGCAGTGCATGGGCGAGTCTGTTCTTTCTGCATTCAGCACTGGATCTCCCTTGCCACCACATTACTTGTTTCTATGAGGACAACTGGAGGAATCATGCTATTATCCTTAGCGTGTGCCCTTTTACCTCTTCCACAAACTGAGGTACAGCTAAGTTATTTTCTTTAAAAAGTGCTTGGAAGGGTTCTGTGCTCCCTTGTCTGTGTACTTTTCAACAAAATCCTTATTTAGATGCTTGTATTTACAGCAAAACAGTGTGAATTCTAATCACACTTATAGAGTCTCGTTTTGGAGCAGCTATACAGAAATTGGATTCAAATGGCTGCAAGTTAGGAGAATTCCCTCTAGCCTTTGTAATATGAAAGACATCTGCAGAGAAGACCCTATGGGATTTACCCCATCTCTGGCAAGAAGACTTGGGGCTGTGCAGACCCCCTTTAATGAGATGCCTTGCAGCGGAGTTTCCAGTGCCTAATTGGGCATCATGCAGCCTTTCCAAGGAATGACTCAGTCCTGTCCCATTATATCTCCTCCTTCGCTCTCAGAGTTATTATGACACCTCCTAGACAAGCTGGCATCTCTGCACATGAAAATAACTCATCTTAATGAGAGCGAAGTGCATGTTGCCTAGCAGCAGAGCATCGCACAAGTCTTCGTGTGCTGGGCTGCAAAAGGCACTTATGTTAATGGGGTTGCTCTTCGCTCTGCTCTTGGGTCTTTGAATGTTGCAAAGAGGGAGATGTTGGTAGAATGCCTCATCACTGTAAAAGGAGCGTGCAAAGGGAGCAAATGCCTCGGTTCTCCAGGTTAGAAAGGGAAGTCCTGCAGGCTCTGTGACCTAGTTTCCCTTGGGAAGGAGGCAGATCAGTGCCCTGGAAGAAGAATCCCGTGTTCTGCAGAGCAGCTGCTCTTCTGAGCCGTGGCTTGTGTGCCAGCTGTCAGAATCCATGCATCTAGCTGGTGAAACAGGCCAAACCCAACAAGTTATCTCTGCCTGGTACAATAGCAGAGCGTGGCTAGCACATAAAACTGAGTGAGTGCAGATTGGACATGGCATATGATGACAACTAATGAAGATAGCATGGATAAATGTTGCTTCCCTGCTGGAAAACGTCCTGCCTGTTTTCCTTGGGTGAAAAGGCTGAGGTTTTCCTGAGGAAAAGGCAGTTCCTGGCCCCCTGCAGAACAGAGGCAGGAGTAGTGCAGACTCACTGATCACTCAAAAGCACTTCCATCAGTTTACTGCTCATTGAAGACTGCCCCAAAGACTGAGGACTTCTACTCTCAAGTTACCAAGCCTTGATCTTTATCAACTGCCACTTGAGGTATGGCACATACTGGATTTTCTCCGAACAACGTGGACAGAAGAGCTTGCTAGAAAGAGGAATGTTCATCACTGGTGTTTGTGGCTGCAGCCTGCTAAGGTGCATGGCTGTGCCCAGGCTTTAGGGTCTCCATAGAGATCTTGTGCTTCTCTTGATGCTTTCTCTAGGCTCAGTGGGGTAGGTATCCTGCTCCTGAAGAGCACTGCTTTCTGAGAGTCTCCATCTCTTCTTATCTGCAGGATTTCTCCTACGATGACTCAAAGGTGGAGTTTAATGTTGATGCCCCCAACGGAGTGGTGATGGAAGGCTACCTCTTCAAGAGAGCTAGCAATGCTTTCAAGACGTGGAATCGGTGAGTAACGACTGCTATCCTAGTAACATCTATCCAGGGCTCTGAACGTACCTGTTACTGGGATGCGTTTGCCTTTGCTAAGATCTCAGCAACTGTTACTGTCACTGGATTCCAGATTAAATAGTTAAGGGAGGTTGTTTTGATAGTTTCCTGTATAAAGAAGCTTTTCTTTTAGGAACTTGTGAGGCCACTCGCTGTGCAGTGTTCTGATACTGGCATGCAAGGGCTGGTTGCTTTGTATTTTATATATGTTTTAATTATTTTTCTGCACTAAAACGAGCCTGCTTCCTTTTGCAAGCTGGTATATTCCTCCCAGGCTGCATTATGGAATGAGTCAGCCCACGATTTGCTGCATCTGAGTAAATGCTTGAAAACATGTCTCAGAGTACCTTCTGTAATGGAACAATGATCAGGTTCCAGGCAGGGAAAGTAGGACACAAAGCAGCTGGAGTCTTGCCCTGGGGAAGCTCTAAATTCACAGCCATCAAGAGAAACCTCTAACATAGGAGGACAGGCTCTGTTTTCAAGAGCTGCTAGAATCAAACTGATCTGTCTTTGAAGGGGGAGATGCGTAGAAATATCAGCTGTGCTGCAGGGAGCTGAGATGGCTCCTCTGTGGGATGACCCTGCTCTTAGCTACTTATAAATATTTCAGCTGCTGCGTCACTGGGATACCAGGCTTGTATGTGCCCTGCTCTTTTATGCCTTCTGCTCTGCTCATGAGGCTCCACAGCTTTCAGAAGCCTTGGAAAAGTGCAAGTAAAAAAGCTTTCATGCCCTTGCCTTGCTTGAAGCTCGTGTGTTTGGTGTTCCTTAATCAACGGGCTTTGTTTCTGCTTGGGCAATTAAAAGGATTGAAGCCCTTGCAGTTGATTTCTAAGGCATAAAATCAATGCCTCTCTGCCCCACGTTTCCTCCTCTCGCATAACAGGGAAATGATCCAGGGTTAGGAAATCCCGTATTTGGCTTGGATACTTTCAGAGTATGCTCCAAAGCAAGGTGAAAATGTGCTAGCATCGGACTTTGGAATTAGCAAGCATTAAATAATTCACTGACCAGTCTGTGGTATGCACAGAAACTTCCCATGTTTGGGCAGGCAAGAGACTTCAAATAGGTAGAGATCTATGGATTGGTTGGGTAAGTAATTTCTTCTCCCCAAACCTTGCCTGATGCTAAGCATAACGTGTCCATCCCTCAGGCTTTCCAGTCCCTTGAATCTTAAATAGTATCTTTGCACTTGAGGAACCAGAAGCCACAACACCAGCTATTGCCCAGCACGTCAGGTGTTTGCTTCCAGTGCTCACAAGCTGTTGCACCGGAAGGAATCTTGTCCAAATTTGTCAGCCTCTTAGGATACCCTACTTGGTGTTTTCTGAGCAAGGAATGGCCTCATTTCTCGTGTTCTCTGCTGCCACATGTCCCTGCAGGACAAGGGGTCATTCCAGAGGAGTTCAGGAGAACAGGGCTGCAAGAACTGGGAGCAGAAACGTGGGACAAACCTTCTGCTCAGCTTCACATGACATGAGACTCCTGGAGCACAGGCTGCTGTCACAGCAGCTCAGAGACATGCAGAACTAGATGGGTTCACCAGTGGATCCAAAGGGGCTCTGTGTAGGAGGGATGGCCTCCGGTCACCCGTGTTCTCCTTCTCCACAGGGTCCTTTCTTGCTGTTGCCTTTTATCTTCCTGTTTAATTTCTTAGCAGAGGTGCTAGACAGTCCTGTCTCATCTCGTTTTCCTGGGGAGCCCAGCTCCTTTGCAAGCCAAATGTGTGATAGGTGCTGTCTTGGATGTACCCGTGGTCCGTGTCTGGATCCCTAACCAGTGTCCCACAGGTGCTGGTGTCACTCTCTGTGCCAGGACCAATGCACACGTGCAGCCTTCTGCCCTGAGACCTCAGGCAGCAATATGGGATAGTCCTTTTCCTCCTCTTTCTTCCTTCCTTCTCTTTTCATATATGCTGACATTTCTAGGACACTTGTCACCAGAGCATCTCGATGCTAAAAGAGGTCATTCCTTAGGGCTGTAAATGTTTATTCTCTGAAGGAGAACACTGAAAAAAAGAGTGAACTTTTCTTACCACGCTGGTATTTTCCTTGCTTCCTGAAATAACTGACACTCTATATAAATGCAGAAATACCCTGTTCTGCGGAGGAAGGGTGCTGCCTCTCCCCCTATAGCTCTGTTGCTATTCATATGCTGTGATCTCTTCCTCTCCCTTCCTCTCTCTCCTCAGGAGGTGGTTCTCCATCCAGAACAGCCAGCTGGTGTACCAGAAGAAGCTAAAGGTGGGTGAAGGGGCCTCACGTAGCACTGGCAGCTCAGCCAAATTCTCAGATGTCCTCCTGCCCTGTGCTGGGGAGAAGGAAGGGTTGGATCAGAGGGACATCAAGCCCGTTTGGACATTATTGCACTGTGAAGCCAGGCTGTGCTGAGAAGGGAGCGGTGGTGGTTGGTTTCTGTAGGGATCTAAGCATTTCTGCTTAGCACAAGTTGAAGTCCCCAGTAAACCTGTCATTCATCTGCTTGTTGTCCCATCCTACCTCACACATTTCCATTGCCCTAGAGTTATCCCACGTCGGGCTGTCTCTGTTCTTCCTGGCCCCATTATTTGCTAAACGGCAAGATGTGAGGAGGAGTTTTCTGGGAAGGCAGATGATGAAATGGATTCAGGGAGCTGGACTAAGCCACCTCTTCTCTCCCCTTCAGGATGTCCTCACAGTAGTGGTGGAAGACCTGCGGCTCTGTACTGTCAAGCCATGCGAAGATATAGAGAGGAGGTTTTGCTTTGAGGTTGTCTCACCTACCAAGTAAGTTTGGTAGTTTTCCCAGGCCCTCCTCACAGTAGCTGGACTGTGCATTGAGTTGCAAGAGATTAGACTCAAGCAGATGCTGCCCTGGACTCCCCAGTGTTGACTGGGAGATACTGCTGCCTGTGTTTCAGGGTCCCCTGAAGTTCAGCAGACAGCAAGTCAGAAATTAGGGCCACCCAAACCTGACACGTGCCTAGGTGGGAAACTAGCCGTGGGCAGCTCTTCAAGACAGCTAGTGAGCCTGCCTGGAGCTTTTGAAGAGGAAGCACCCCCGTAGTGCAGGTCTTATCATTTTTTGCCTGTTAAATCAAAGCAGTGCCCCCTTGGAAGAGCTATCACGAGGGTCAAGTGGGACAGTTTTGTGCTGGCGCTTTTCCCAACTCGTGCTTTCTCCCGCAGGAGCTGCATGCTGCAGGCTGACTCGGAGAAGCTGCGCCAGGCCTGGATCCAGGCTGTTCAAGCCAGCATTGCTTCTGCTTACCGGGAGAGCCCTGACAGCTATTACATTGAAGTGAGTGAAGATCCCTAGCAGTGTCCCGGAGCCCTGGGAGTGAACTTTTGGGCTGGTGCATCCAGTGTGGGTGGCTGGGCCATTTGGAAATACTCTTCTGCCCTCAGGGTAGGGAGTTGACAAGCTCAAAGAAACAACTGGTGGTCAGGGCAGAAGGCAAGGCTTTGAATCAGTGTTGTCCTGACATCTTGGCCTCCTTGCTGTGCCTCTGAATTACCGTTCCCTTGGGAATTGTGCTCCCCTGCTTGCTCTCTTGCTGGGACAAGTGCAAGGCCCTGTGTGTCTGAGCCGTGAGCTGGGAATGTTCTGGGCTGCCGGCCCTTCTGGAGAGGGAGAGGAGGAAGCACCGTCCCCTGGCAGACTCGAGCAGCACATTAGAGTGATTGAGTGGCCCTGTTGTTCCCCTTTTACTCGAGATAAACAAGGCTTTACCCTCTTCCCTCTTGGACCAGCACTAGTTCATTCCTTCTCAGCTAATGCTTCCTACCAATGCCTATGCCACGTGAAATTCTGACTCCTTCCAGAATACCAGGAGAATCCTGAATCCTTTTCTCCCTGCAGAGGCTGGATCGGACTGCGTCGCCATCCACCAGCAGCATTGACTCCGCTACTGACTCCAGGGAACGCAGTGTGAAGGGGGAGAGCATCCTGCAGAGAGTTCAGAGCATCCCTGGGAACGACCAGTGCTGCGACTGTGGGCAGCCGGATCCCCGCTGGGCCAGCATCAACCTGGGCATCCTGCTGTGCATCGAGTGCTCTGGAATCCACAGGTACTACATGTGTGCTGCCAGCTGGAGACCTGCAGTGAAACCTACAGCAAAACCCCTCAAAAACGGTCCTTTTTTTGTCTTATGATGCATGAGCAGTTTTGTTTTAAGGCTTATAACCATTTCTGTTTCTTCCCTTTTTTGGACAAATAGGAGTCTGGGCGTTCACTGTTCCAAAGTCCGATCTCTCACATTGGACTCCTGGGAGCCAGAATTACTGAAAGTGAGTGTTGACTTTTACTGCCAGGAGTTACAGGGCGGCATGGAGGGGAATCTTCCTTGCAGGAGTAAATTGGGAGGTAACACTTCATCTCACAGTTTAATTCTTCCAATGCAGCTGATGTGCGAGCTGGGGAACAGCACCATGAATCAGATATATGAGGCACAGTGTGAAGAGCTGGGACTTAAGAAGCCCACAGCAGGGAGCTCCAGGTGAGTGTGAGCACGTGCACGGATCCTCCCAGCCCTGTGGAAAGGTAGCATACCCCTAGGCAAACCCTCTATCCTGAGGTCTCCATATTGCAAGTTTGGCTGGCACTTAAGCGAGGGCTCAAACTCCTCCTCCTGACCTAAGTGGCTTGGTCATGGAGGGAACAAATACTTCAGTCCACTTCTGCAGCTGGCCTGAGCTCGACTCTGACGAAGGAGTGTGATGAAATCTAAACCCAGCAGGCCCTGGCTCCCACATCTGCTCTGAAACCTTGCAGAAAGGATTAGCTGAAGTAAATGGTATGCTCTAGGGTCAAACATTCTGGTTCACTTTCAGCTGCTTGTTTCACCTCCTAGTTCTGCTTCACAGCAGGAAATATTCTAAGGCTTAAGAAGCTCTTTCTCCTTCATACAGTCCTTGCTGGCTGCAGAGCAGCCTCCTTCTTGCAGATGTTTGCTTTAGGCGAGCCTAGTGACCCTCTGCACAGTTTTATGTTGTTCTCCCCTTAGGCAGGACAAGGAAACCTGGATCAAGGTGAAGTACGTGGAGAAGAAATTCCTGAAGAAGCTGCCAAATGGGGAGGCTCTGACAGAGAACGAGAGGAAACCTCGGCGCTGGTGTGTGAAAAAGTGCCAGAGGAACAACAGCACCACGAAAGCCCCCACGGCGCGGAGAAAGTACCGCCACGAAGCAGGCAACGCGTCCCCAGCCACGTTGTCATCAGGTGGGGCAGCCTCTTTGTCACACTCCCCGTGCAGAGTATTTGCCTCGTACTGCTTTTTGTGACTCTCTACACAGCTGCCCCAATGCCACGTGTAGCCCTGTCTCTGCAGAGCCTGCAGCCTGAGACATACAGACAAAAATGCTCCTCTGCAAACCTTCCTGACACAGGTCTTTAAAGCCACTTCGTAACATTTTCCATCTTATTAAGGAAGCTCTTGTGCTTAGACGAGGTCATTACATTAGGTGACCCACAGCTTCTAGTCATCTAAGCTCTTCCTTTTCCTTTGTATTGCAGCTTCCTGTTTTTCAATAAAACGCAAAAAAAAAAAAAAAAAAACCCCATAACCTGCTCAATCTGTTCTAGAGACAACTGCTTGTGGAGGGTTTTGGCTGCCCAAATTATTCTATGTTGATTCTTGGCCTGCAGTACACCATGGCCAGCTCTTAGTTTGTCTGAGGATGGTCATGACACTGAACACATCTGGTACAGGTTGGAAATGCAAGCTCAGCCTGTGTAAATGCAGCTGCAGGATTATCTGTCTCTTCCCCATCACCCTTTTTTCCCCTCATTTGCTTCTTTTTAACTGTGCATTTCAAAATCTTTCTGCATAAAACAGCAGCCACCTTGGAGCGGAAGTTCCGACGAGATTCTCTTTTTTGCCCTGATGAGCTGGACTCTCTCTTCTCCTACTTCGACACCGGTGCTGGCTCTGGCCCACGCAGTAAGTACAAAGAAAGCAAGCAAGGAGCTTTGCCTCCTGCCTCTTCCAGGGCCTGCACATTGCACCAGACCTGCAGGCGAGGTAGTGGCCTGGCTGCAGAGGTAGCCAACCCATCAAATGACACATGCTGGGTAAATATTTCAGGAGAGTGATGAGGAGTTATTTGCACAAACTCCGACCCATTGCTCTTTAGTGCATTTAATTAATATCCTATACACTCAGTCCCTGGTGCTTGCATTCTTGTGGATGGGATTTTTTTTCTCCACATCTTTTAGTTACAGCCTGTGCATTCTATCAGCTTTTTTCTGGTTTTGGTTTAGTTTTTTTCTTTTCCCTTTTTTTAGCGAGTCCTGCTATGGACCTTTTGTTTGTTTGTTTGTGACAATGAACTCCCCTCATGTTCCGTCCACCTTCCTCTAGGTGCCAGCCACATCTCTATGCAGCATCCGCTAGCAGGTGGCCCCTGGAGTGGCAGTGGCATTGGTCCCGGTGGGAGCGGTACGCCGTTCCTCCTGGACGGAGGTAAGGTGACGCTCTGGCAGCCAGCAGCAAAAGAGACCCCCATGGGTAATGTGAGGCTTGGGCAGCCAGCAGCAAAAGAGACCCCCCAAATTCTACTTGTTTCAAGCACAGCTTCAGAGGCAGTTGTACATATAGCTTTTCATCCAAAGGATTGGAAGTCATATACACAACTCACTGCTGGCAGGATTTTGGAAGACAAGAAACCTCATGGGGTTTCAAGCAGTTGAGCTACTGCACCTTAAAGAAACCACTGTCCCTCAGATGAGAGGCAGAATCTAATCCTTGCGTGCAGGTAGACCATTGCAAACAGGAATTTTGAGGCATTTACTTCAGAAGTTCCACATTTGTCATAGACTAGGGGCACAGTCTGTTCCTGAGCTTCAGCCGAGGGGCAGCAAATTCTTAAAACTTGGTTAACTCAATTGCTTGCTCAATATGAGCTTAGAGAAAGAGCTGAAGGGTCTGAGTCAGCCCAGCAGAAAGTCACAGGCTTTCCTTTTCCATGTTATCTCCTCTAGAAATCACTGAAGCATGTGCTTTAGTGCTTGCCTGAATCGGTGCCTTAAAGAGTGTTCTAGTTTCAAGGAATTTAGCATTAGTCAACTTGATTGCACCAGACCTGAAGGCAAATTGTACTTGGGTGATGCAGGGCTTTAGAGCTGCTCAGCATCAGCCCTGCTCCTGAAGAAGAAAACAGGAAATTTTGATTCAGTGTCAACAGAACTATTTTTTTTTCCACATATTAACGTTAATGTGTCAGATTCTCCCTTCTTGCTTTTTCTGCAGTCCTAGAGCACAGATGTGTGTCTCACTGAAGTCACTCTTTATTTACACTGATAATGGACAGCAGAGTCTCACAATGCTTTGTTGTTGTTGTTGTTGTTTGTTTTCTACAAAAAGCAACAGTGAATCCAAAAAGATACACACGGTATATGCCGCTCTGGACCTTTCCTGGGAGCTGCACTCACCTGGCCATGAAGTTCCCACATCCTATCCAAGCACCTTGTCTTTTGAATACTCCCCACCTGTAACATGTATTGGACGGTCTCCAAAATCCTTCAGTGAATGAAAAGATGTCTCTGAAATGATTTTACAGCAAAGCCATAACATAATGACCTAATTTGTGGCTATCCTGTGAACCAGTTTTCTTCTGAGTGACACAAGTCACACAAAAAGTATTCAGTCCAGTGACTGAACATAACTGAGATGTGTCCTCATCCTGACTGTGCTAGTAGAAAAGTGTTGGAGAGCCCAGCCTCAAAGTGAGATGTTGTGTGATGAATTTGAGACCGACTTTCTCATCACTGGAGTTGAGAAGGGTCTAATGTTCAATTCGTGTTCTCTTGTGGATCTGGATTCCACTCCTAGGAGTGTTCAGATGTCACAGCAATTGACGTGGGTTCATATTTTCCATAGATGACATCACTGTGCCTAAGAGGGAGCCTTGGGCATTTTTGTCCAGCATTCTCACATTTAATGTGAATCTGTTTTGGGGTGGGTTAGTAAAACTTCACTACTTCCTGCAATAATACAGAGCAACCTGGGTGCAAAGGGCCGTGACAGCACTGGTTTCTGTTGTGACCTTCATCTCCTGTGGCTTTTGAAGAGGGTTGAAGGATTAGTTGCGAGCCATGATGTGAGGACCAGTGATTCGAGAGGCTGTTCTTTACCTGGCCTCAAGCTGGAGGTGCTCTGAAGATGTCTACAGGCAGCCTTTAAGGATAAGACGTGCAGTCCTGCTGTGGTTTTCCAGGCTGACACATTTAGTTCTTGCAGACTTCCCTGCTGCTACTCTTTGCCAAGGCCACTAAGCTGATATGTTCAGAAACAATTTGCCAGGTACAGCCTGGGTTATTTTGCTACCTAAACACAGTGATTTTTGCCTTGGAGATCACTGGGGCTTCAACTCCCGGGA